GGAAGAAGAGGAAGAAGAGCTCCAACTGTAATATAGTGTGGAAGAGCACACCTAAGCAAACCAGGAATAATCCCAAATACTATTTTAAAAGATATAAAGTAAGACTTCATTTTTGGCAGAAATTGCACAACTCAGACAACTAGAAATATATTGTCAACGTTCTAGTGAAAACTGCTGGAATGATCTATTCTATGAAAAGGACTTTCAAGAAGAACACAGCTGAAGCCGGCTGGAGCAGCTGACCTATAGCTTTCAGGAACTGTTTCCAGAACAGAAAACAATATGGAAAGAATGGAAGGACTGATCCACGGGATCTGCACTACAAGAAGTGCTTGGCAGACTTCTTAAGCTAAAGGAAAATGATTCTTGACAGAAGCATGACATGACGAAAGTCAGTTACAATGAGACATATGTGAGAAATACAAGTGAATATTCTTGTCTAAATTACAAATTACAGGGTTTATAACGTGTTAAAACATAAGAGTCTGGTGGAATAGCTCAGTGGTACAGTGTTTGCCTGGCTTGTGCAAGGCCATGGGTTCAATCACCAGCACCACAAAAACTTGAGAATTGTCAAAGCAAAGAGAGTTAAATTTCTTATTGTCTGGAAAGTGACAAAATACTAATTTTAAGTAAATTCATTGGTGAACATTAAAATTTTGATTTTATTTCTGTATAAGTGTTTTGACTATATGTATGTATGTGCACCACGTGCATGCAATCAGTGCCTGAGGCGGCCAGAAGAGGGCCTCTGATTCCTGGAACTGGAGTTGGGGACAGTTGTCAGCTGCCATGAAAGTGCTGGGAACTGAACCTGTGTCCTCTGCAAGAGCAGTCAGTGCTCTTAACTGCTGAGCCATCTCTCCAAGCCCCCATAGAAGATGTTTTAATATCTAGGGTGACCATTAAAATAATAAGTATGTAGAGGATAATTGGTCATTTCCAGGTGTTTGAAAACTAAACATAGCTTTAAATAGCTCAGAGCAGCAAAGAAGAAATAACATAGTAAAGAAAAAACATCTTGGGATTGATAGGTAGAGAATGGGCGAGAGTGAGCGGCGCAGATGGAGGAGGCACGAGCGGATGGGTGAAGGCACCGAGGCACAGATGGAATTCTCAGTGGGACACAGATTTATTTCGCACAGGGGCACCTTTCCTTCAGGAAGGGAAAGATGTCCACGAAGGGAAAGATGGAAGGGAAGGGAAGGGAAGGGAGAAGGGGGAAGGGCGAAGGGGAAAGGGGGAAGGGGGAAGGGAGTCAGGGAAAGATGTCCAGGAAAGATGTCCACGGGTTGTGAGCTGGGACTTTACATATGGGGGCTTTAGGGTGTGGAATCAGGGAGGGGGAAGCAGGTAGGATTAGGGTGTGGAAGTGTTTACTTTTTCCCTCTTAAGATGAGAGAAACTCTGTTTATCTTATCTTTGGAGGTCAGAGGAAAGGCAGGCTGCTTCTCAGCAGAGTTTGTAGGTCCCTGTTGGGGAGGGGGTGGAGCTGCTATTTGGAACCCTAACAGGGATGATTTATAATTCAGGTCAAAATGTTTGAAGCTAAAATCATTCTTAGAGGAAAAGTTTGTATGTTTAATGTATGTATTAGAAAGAAAGAAATACTGACAAAGATCTAAGTTTTAGGGTAAAAGGAAGAATAGAACAGCAAATCAAATCCCCAAAATATTTTTTTAAAAAAGAACTCAAGCTGGGCATGGTGGCGCACGCCTTTAATTCCAGCACTTGGGAGGCAGAGGCTGGTGGATCTCTAACTTCAAGGCCAGCCTGGTCTACATAATGAGTTCCAGGACAGCTGTGGCTACAGGGAGACCCTGTCTCAAAAAGACCAAGAAGGAAAAAAAAAAAAAAAGAAAACTCAAAAGAAAACACAGGTATAAACAGAAAAAATTAATAAAGTGAAAATTAAATCATCTGAAAAACTTTGTAAAAATAGATCAAAACTTATAAACTTTTAAACCCGTCTGTACATTTAGTGATTTTACTATGATGTGTCATGGGGAGTGTCTTTTCTGATCCTATTTGGTGTTCTATGTGCTTCCTGTGTTTGTATGTAGATGTCGTTCCTTAATTTCGGGAAATTCTCTTCTACAATCCTGTTTAAGATTTGGTCAATATTCCTGCATCTGGACCCTGGGCAGTTCCCTGAAGCAGTAACTTGAGGTTTTCTTCTGAGGAACCTTGGCACTGGAGGTCAGGACTGTTCCCATATTTGGACCCTGGGCAACTTTCTGAAGCACTGATTTAACATTTCCTGATGAGGAACCTTGGCTCATTTGGAAGCGTGTGTTCACTTGAGTTCTCTCATACACATAAGTCCACTCCTTGAAGCTTTCTATTGGGTCACCTCAGGACACTACATCCTATCAGGAATCTGTAGTACAGAAGGCCAGCACCAGAGCTGTCTGATGGCAGACACTACAGAGGAAAAGGACAGAGGCACAAGCAACTGACACTATTGTGATCCCATTTCACTGAAGGTTACCCATGTTTTATTTGAAAGAAATAATGACTCATCTAAAGATATACAGTTCCATCCAAATCTGGACTGAGAAAACTGGGATGTCTGAGCTGAAAGAAGCATTCATTGAAACAGTGCAAGGACAAAAGGGACGTAACCTACTAGTTGCATTCACATTTGGAAAAATGAGGATTTTTCTGCTGAGTAATAACATTTCAAGCATAGTGGTTAGATATTATGAAGAGGGAACACACTGCCTGCACTTGATGTTGAAAAACAATACTTATTGATTGAAAAATTATCATACATAGACATTGAACAGTTGAACTGTGTGGAGTATAAGAACAAGACTTCTATCTTCATCTTCAAGTTGAGTGGGGTCCTCATTGTATATCTGAAGCACTATAGTTTTGATCATAATTGGTTACTAGTGAAGAATGAACAGCCAGTGGAGATTTTCAAGTATCTGAGTATATCGGACCACTGCAATGGAAACACGAGGCTACCAATTCCCTTGGCCAACAGCCCACCTGTTGGAGACAATGTACCAGATATGACTGCTACATTACAAGATTCCCAGAGACACTGTGAAAGAGCAAGCAAAACACAGCATCAGAGAGACCCAGAGAGTGATTCTGATCTGGAACAGGAACTGGTTAACACAAGACAAAATACTCAGTAAAAAGAACTTGGCGCCCCTGACTCAGTGATGGATGAAGAAGACGTCTTCCTTCCTGTGATCCCATACCCAGGACTTGCAGAGATAGGTCTTCAAAAAGTGTCTGAACATTCAGAACTTAAGAAATAAAAGAAAACAGCTACATCTAGAGATAGTAGATGTACATCTAGAGGTAGTTGTCAAACTACAACTGAAGGGAAAAACACAGTAGCTGATGACAATGATGAATGTGAAACGATGTGAAGACGGGAGATGATCCTTACAGTTATAGACTCATCAGTGTCGTCAGTCATGTTGGGAGCTTCAAAGATGTTGGTCATTACATCAGCAGTGTGTATGACTTTCAAGATCAAATGTGGCTAACCTACGATGATGTACAGGTGACATCAGTTCTAGAATCTTTCATGCAGCAGTCCAGGATTAGCTCTGGCTACATTTTCTTTTATATGCAGAATGAGATTCTTGAGGCACTGTCGAAAAGGACAGCAGATTCCATTCTAAAAAGGGAAAATTTCCTTCTCAGAATGGCCTGATGACTTTTCATTACAGAGGGATAACTCTGAGCCCTGCACAGTTCATGACAAAAATTCGACAGATTAGGAGAACAGAAACTCAGGGAATGTACCATCCTCCAAGACTACCATGGTGCTTCCCATATTTTTTACTTTTAATGTTTCATGGATGCTTATTGGTAAATATTTATCAATTTGAGATATTTCTTAAGTGATTACTAGGGGGATTTGAGAGATGGCCCAGTGGATAAGTGCCACTTCTGGTCCTGCAGAGGACCCAGGTTCAGTTTCTGGTACCCATGTTTGAGCAGCTCACAACAGCCTGTAACTCCAGCTTCAAGGGATTCAATGCCCTGTTCCGAATTTAGCAGGCACTGCAACAACTCATGCACATAACCACACACAGACACACATGTACACATAGGGAATTCTTTTTCTTTGGTCTTGAGACAGGGTCTCCCTGTAGCCACAGCTGGCCTGAACTTGCTATGTAGACCAGGCTGGTCTTGAACTCAGAAATCTGCCTGCCTCTGCCTCCTGGGTGCTGGGATTAAAGGTGCATGCCTGGTGTACACATAATTTTTTAAAATTAAATAGGGGGCTGGAGAGATGGCCCAGTGGTTAAGAGCACTGACTGTTCTTGTAGAGGACTCAGGTTCGATTCCCAGGACCCACATGGCAGCTACAAACCATCCTTAACTCCAGTTCCAGGAGAATCCGAAGACCTCTTCTGATCTCTGTGGCATTGCACGACATGGGTACACACACATACATGCAGCCAATACACTCATACACATAAAATAAAAATAATAAGTAAATATTTAAAAAATTAAAAAATAATGCCTAGTATGGTGGCGTGTGTCTTTAATCCAGCACTGAGGAGGCAGGTGGAGCTCTGGGATTGAGGCTAGCCTGTTCTGCATAGTATGTTCCAGGCCACTTGTGAGTATAGGGAAAAAATTTTTTTAAAAAGAAAAAACTAAGTCTACTTACATATTAAGCCTATACACGGAATTCTTTTCTTAGTATATATTTCACACACCAATCCAATGAATACAATGCCAAATCCTCCCCTCCAACTCTTCCCAAACTGAGCCCCCCCTCACACCTCCCAATTTCATGTCCTTTCCTTTTCATGTATTAACATGATTTTTATTTAAAAAATTTTTTATTCCATATATATGTGTAAGTGTAAGTGCATCATATGTGTATGAAACCCACAGAGGCCAGAAGAGGGCGATGGAATTAACCATCTGGGTGCTGGGCAGTGAACCCCGTCCTCCGAAAGAGAAGCAAGTGCTCTTAACCACTGAGTCATTTCTTCAGTCTCCACGATTTCTTTTTTAATATGGAACCCTTTGTGAATTTGCGTGTCATCCATAGGCAGACACTGTGCTTATCTTCTGTGCTGTGCCAATTTTAGTGTATGTGCTGCCCTCGAAAGCACAGTGTGATGGTTTTTTAAAACATTATTCTGAGCCAGCAACACAAGGGACTAATAAATCCTAAATTTTTGGTGAGGCATCAGAACGACAGATTCAGAAACTGTTGTTGGATGCTAAACATTTGAGAAATACTTTAATGTGTGAGATAACTTGTTTTGCTATTGTGTACGTAAATTGCTCTTCTTCCTGAGTGCTGGGGTTAAAGGTGTGCCCCACCATACCCAGCTGCTTTTCTTATCTAAAGGATTTTCATTACAGCTTTTTATAGCCTTAAAATCATGTATACTATTCTTTTGTCAACTTATTAAAATCATTGAGTGGCTTCTTAAAAAAAAAAAAAATCTGGTTAACACCATTAACCTGAAATTCTCCTCCTATTCCTGTGATCCATAGATTTGGTCTTTTCATGGTGCACAACATCTCTTGCATATTCCATTCCTTTTTTTTTTTTAATTTTCCATAATCTTTGCTTGAGTGGTCCAGTTCTTCAACTCTCTCCTCCAGTGCTGATATTCTGTTTTCCATTTCATTCATTCTAGCGGTGAGGCTTTCCCCTGTTTCAAACTTGCTTGTTGAGTTTTGTGCTTCCTTCTTCATTTCTCCCTGAGTTTTCTTCAATGTTTCTGTCTCTTTTGTGAATTCATTCAGAAGTTTATCCCTATCTTCTTTCAGTTCTTTGATTTGTTTGTTCATGTGTTCTTTAAATTCATTGAATTCCTAGATCATGTTTATGATTGTTCTTTTAAATTCAGTGTCCTGGGTTATCTCTAGGGGGTTCTCCTTGTAGAACTCTTCTACAGGACTAGTGGAATTTGGTGGAGACCTACTGTTGTTTTGGCTTTCCATTTTATTCTTCCATTGTGATTTTGGCATGTGAATTTCATTTGATTCTGATATGAGAATTAAGTTGAAGTATGCTTCTGTTTGTATTATCGGGGTGCCTAGGTCCTTTCCTTATTCGTTATGTAAAACTAGTTGTTAAAGCAGGTTTCAGGTTCTCTCAGGTTTAATTTTGGAGGGAGCTGATGGCTTCAGATCAGCTACTCAGGAGTATCCACAGAAGTCCAAGCCAGGTTCCAGTCAGGTGCACTCAGGCTTCCTTCTAAAGTTTGGATCCCTATTAGCAGGAACTCAGAGAAAATTTGGGAAATTCCCTTGGGGTGTGTGTGCTGATTTTGGGACTCTCAGTTGGTCCGTGTTCTCAGCCCCTATGCCAGAGAGAGGCCAGAACCCAGCACTCCCTGGCAATCTGCTGAGATCACAGCCGGTACATCGATGGAGGTCAGAGCCTACCCTCTCAGGCTGTCTGCTAGGATCTAATGAAAGTTTTTAAATGATGGTAGGTCATCCAGATATACATTGGGAGCAGGAAGAATGTGAATCTTGAGCCCTACCTTGAACTACACAAAAATCTGTATTTGAAATGGATAACAAATTGACATGAGGCTTAAATGATCCTGCTCCTAGTTGAAATCAAGAGAGAGTGAACATACCTCCAGTGGACAAGGATTTCTTAAGCAGGACATTAAAAGTACTAGTCACAAAACTGTTAGTGTTAAGAACTTTAGTGATGCTTAAGATGAATTTTCAGGGTAATTTTAGATTTACTAAAATGATGCAAAGATGATACAAAGAACAGCCATGTAACAGTAAGAACTTCTAATCCCTGAGAGAAGTTCAAAGATGTGAACAGGGAAGACACAGGTTAGATATCTGTGCTCCATATCTAAGTCCAACAAAAGTTGTGCCGAGTATGAACAAACAGCTCCTACACATCAGTATGGAAAAGGCAGCTTAATATTTAAATGGCAAAACACCCGAGTAGGAACTTCAGAGAAGAAATGGCAGAATGCCCAATAAACGGATCAAGAAAGAATCAGCATATCATCAGAGGAGTGCAGTTTTAAATGATGATGTGACAGCACGTCACACGCAATAGGGTGGCCAGAATTTTGATAGACTGGGGATGCCCAATGGTGCAAAGACTTGAGACTAGAAAGCTTTTAGATTGCTGTGGGGATGGGACAGAATTACGGCTCCAAAGACGTCCAGGTCCTAGTCCCTGTGAATGTGTTCATATCACAAAAGAGTCTTTTTTTTTTATCTTTGTATGTTGGTCTGTGTTTGTGTGTTTGGCATATGGCTGTGTGCACATGTGTGTGGGTGCACTCCCCTGTGTCTGCACCTGTGAAGGCCAGAGGTCAGTTTGGGGAATCTTTCTCTATTCTTCACCTAATGTTTTGAGCTGGGTCTCCCACTGAGCCTACAGCATGCCATCTCAGCTATAATGGCTGTCCAACAAGTCCCTAGGATCTACCTGTCTGTGTCCCCTAAAGACCCTGCACTAGGGTTACAGGCACACAACACCATGCCAGGTTTTTACATAGGTGCTGGAGAGCCAAACTCAGGTTCTCATAATCACACGGCAGCACTCTACCACTGACCGTCTCCCCAGGCCCAGAAAGGAGATTTTGAAATGTGATTAATTCAGGCACTTGAGGTGAGGGTATCCAGGATTATCCAGGTGGGCCCAGTGTAAGCCACATGGGTCCTGTTTATATCAGTTCTGAGAAGAAGATGTGAGGACACAGAAGGGCCAGAAAGATACAGTATTGGCAGCTTCGAAGACAGAGCAAGAGACCAAGAACCACGCTGGGTACCATCCCTCTAGAGATGGAAGAGACAAGGCCTCTAGAGCCTCTGGAGAAGAAACAGTCCCTCTGACAGGAGGTTCCATGTTGGCCTTCTAACTCTGAGATCTGAAAGTTACTAAATGTGTGCTCTTCACACCTTGAGTTTGTGTTCGTTTATGAGAACACCAAAAGGAAGATAATAGAAAGACAAATGGATTTTTTTAAAATTTGTTATTTTTATTTTATGTGTACGCATGTATTGCCTCATGTAGGTAAGTGCACCTGTGTCCTGCAATGCCTGTGGAAGACAGAAGATGCTGTCGGATCCCCTGGAACTGAAGTTACAGACGGTTGTTAGCTACTGTGTGGGTGCTGGGATTCGAACCTGGGTCTTCTGCAAGAACAGCCAGTGTTCTTAGCTGCTGAGCCATCTCTCCAGCCCCCACAAATGGATTTTTAAATGTGACCTGTTCACCAAATGAAATACTCCCAGTTATATAAAGAACCAACCCAAAACATGGTTGTATCTCACAGATATGATATTAAATGAAAAAATAATGTAGAAAATGGCATATAGCCCATGCTTCCATTTAGTTCTACTTGAAGTTCAAGAAGAGGTACAGTTATGGAAACCCTTTAAATGATTCATGGGAAACTTGTATGTACTCACATAGAGTGACATGTAGTTAGTGTGGAAAAAAAAAAGTAGGGAAAAAAGGGAGGTGGGGGGGACAAGGAACGGAGGGAGGGAACTAACAGGTAAGATTTGATAAGGTGTCTGTGTGGCCAGATTCAAAGATGAGCTTAGGTCAGCAAAATAAAAGAATACACACAGCATTCTTGGGCATAAATAAGGACTGGGAGGCTTGGGGACTCCAATAGACTCATAAGTAGGTGATTTTTGAAGTTGTGGTAGCTGAATGGAAGATGGGGAGTATCTCAGGTGTAAACTAACATACACCAACATGTTAGACAAAAAAAGACAAAAGGATGTTAGCATGTCATAACGATCTTATAGAGAGTCACACACCCAGGATGAGTGTGTGCCACTTCCAGGTGGACCTAAAGAAAAATGAAGTCCCCACATCTGAACAGCAGGTGGTGCCACTCTCCACAACACAGCCTGGCAGAACGCCTCCCAAGCACACCAGCCAGGAAGGATGATGACTGCCTGCAACACCCAGATGCCACCCTACACCCCAGCATCTGGCATCTCCAAGCATCTCCCAACACAAGTGTGAGCACACCCACACACCACACATCACACTACAACACACAGGTACTCTGCACCATATCCCTGAGCTGTTCTACCCACATTAGCCACAGGACTAATGACAGGAGCACACAGGAAACAGCATGGTTTTAAAAGCTTCATATTTGCTTTTATTTTACAAAACAATTTAACTTCTGTGCTTTCACTTGCAGAGACTAAAAAATCTATGCTGAGACACACACACACACACACACACACACACACACACACATGGGGGAGGGGAGGGAGGGAGGGAGGGAGAGAGAATACAGCAGTTGATTTCAGAATGGTGTGGAGGCTGGACCTCAAACAGGTTGCTAAGAAAGCCTAGGCAGAGAAAACTGGCACACAGTAGGAGCCTGTGATTCTTCAGGGCCTCTGAGCAGAGTCTCACACACAACAGGGAGGCCAGTTAGTACACAGCAGCTGCTGCAGGCGGGGTGGGTGACCCATAAGAGGAACACAGGTGTAGACAACAGGTATAGCAAGAACCAGGTCTGCGGAATCAGAGCATCTGACATGTTAGCTCTTTTCACCAGGGTGAAGTTACATTCTTATGAGCTTCAGTTCCCAAACTTGTAAATGGCTTCATAACCCATCCCAGAGGAGAGAACAGATAAATGTGTATAGGTGACTGATGGTGCCAGCACATAAAAAATACTCAAGTAGCTGTAGTTTAGCTCTTTTGCTCCCCTCTCACTGCCTTCTGGCCACAGCAGGCTCCTTGCCATGCCCTGTGTATGTTGGGCACATTACCACCCCAGGACATTTGCCCCTGTTTCCTCTTGGACCTGGAATCTTCTTGACAAGGCATCTGCTTGGCTCGCTGCCTGACCTCACGCAAGGATCTGCTTAGAATAAGCTTCTTTTTAAAGAATTTTATTTATTTTTATTTTATCTGTATGAGTGTATTGTCTGCATGTAGGTAGGTGCACCCATGTCATGCATTGCCCACAGAGATCAAAAAAGGGAATTGGATCCCCTAGAACTTGAGTTACAGATGGTTCTTAGCCACCATGTAGGTGCTAGGATCGAACCCAGGTCCTCTGAAAAAACAGCCAGTGCTCTTAACCACTGAGCCATCTCTCCAGTCCCAAGTCCCAAGAGTAGGCTGCTT